TCTGTAGTTTCAAGAGGATGATAGGGTGGGTGTTAGTCTGATCTGAAGAGTGTCGGGGACAGAAACCGGATTTTCTGGGAGTGTTCAGATTCTGCTTTACCTATTCTCTTTTTACAACCTTTCCCTCTTTCCCCTACCCTCCTAGAAACCATTTTCTACTCTCTGTTTCTATGAGTTTCACTTTTTTTTTAAGATAAGTGCATGTAAGTGAAAGTACTGCATGTAAGTGATACCATGTAGCATTTGTCTTTCTGTGTCTGGCTTATCTCACTTAGCTTCATGCCCCCAAGGTCCGTCCATGGAATCATCAACGGCAGGATTTCCTCCTTTCTCGTGGCTGAGTAGTATTCTGAAATACTATTTCAGACCCACTTTCTTCGTTATCCATTCATTCATCTACTGGTGGACAGTTAAGTAGTTTCCACATCATGGCTATTATGAATAGTGCTGCAGTGGACATGAGAGTACAGAGGGTGCTTTCAGATCCCATTTTCATTTCCTTTGGATAAATACTCACAAGTGGGATTGCTGGATCACATGATAGTCCTATTTTTAATTTTGTGCTCCTAGTAGCTCTTAATAACAGTGTGCCCTTTGGCAAGTGCCTTGACCTCTCTGGGCCTTTCCTTCTTTATCTCTAAAATTAAGAGACAGAGTTATTCAGAGGAATAAACGAGAAAGGCTTTTGTAACGCATAAGAAGGTTGAGTCAGAAACCATAGTGCAGGATGAAGAAAGGCCAGAGTCACTCAACCAGCAGCTGCCAGATCCAGGCTAGAACCTGTGTTTCATGGCTCGGTACTCAGCCTGTCACCAAGTGGCTTGTTAACTGAATGCATACATGTTTGCATTCTGAGCTCAGCCCTTCTGAACAAAGCATTGGATTGACATTAGCACAAATTCAAGAGAGCACAGCAGGTTGGACCTATCCATTTCCCAGGGCCTTGCTCTGTCTATACTGCAACCTCTTTTGGAATTACCCAGCCCTTTGCCAAATCACAGACATCAGCAGGACTCTTCAGGCATTCTTTGAGGGAAAGAGTCTAGTGTAGGACTCAATTATGGCACCATTTTGGGGAACTATGTGTAAGAAGGACACAAAGGGATATGGCAACAATCCAGAGATGGGGACTTCACGGTGACCCCGGCCTACGGCGCTGAGCTCTGGCACTCCCTGCATCCTCAACAGATCCACCTCTTCCTTGGGGGCCTGTGATGTTCCCCCTCCTGCCCAGGAGAATCACTGCTGAATTATGCCAAGGACACCTCTCACCCTATCATGATTTCTGCTGCACAATACCTCTAAAGGTTTAAAGAAGGACTCTCTCTGTGGACTTAAAGAGGAAGAACACAAACTCCTGGGAACTAAAGCCAACCCCCACCATAAAAACATTATTCTTGGCTAGTCCCTGTAGCTTCTGCTATCAGAAGCTGTTGGGAAAGAGAAACAGCTCAAGTAACATTGAACTCTGATCACACTGCTTGCTTTAATTATTAACATTGGGCAACCAAAGGAAACAACAGCCACTTAAGGAAAAAAAAGGAAGAGCTCGTACCCTGGCCTTGTGAGGTGCTTGAGCAGTCACTGGGGATGGGCACACGCAGTCTTCACACACACCAGCCAGCACTCCAAAGCATGATATCTGAGTCACTCCCTCTGCAAATATTTATTGACCTGGCACAGTTCTAGGTGTTGGGAATACACCAGTGAAAGAAACAGGCAAGAATCCCTATTCTTGTGGAGCTTATAGTCTAGTGGGAGGTGGAGGAGGCAAATATTTAACAATAAACATAAAAACTGAGGAGATTATATGGTGAGAGGGAGAAAAATCTATCAGGGTAAGAGGAATGGAGAGTGTGGGGGTAAGGGGTTCCATTCACGTGGGTGGTCAATGTCAGCCTCATTAAGAAGTTGACATTTTAGCAAAGTCCTAAAGGAAGAGAAGACAGGAACCAAGTGGATAACCGGAAAGTGGTGGTGGTGCTATAGACAGAATAGCCAGTGCAAAGGTCCTGAGGTAGGAGCATGCCTAGAGTGTTGGTGGAACATCAAAGAAGCCAGAATGGAGTGGGTAAGGAGGAAAGTAGAGGAAATAAGGTCCTAGCAGAAACAGTGACCAGATAGGTAGGACCTTGTAGGCTGATGTATAAACTTTGCTTTCCTTTAGCACAATGGAGCTAATGGAACCCCCAGAGCAGAGGAGTAACATTTCTTACTAAGGTTCAATAGGATCCCATTCTGTCTTCTAGCTCTGGTTTCATTACATGCTCAGACGAGGCCACAGGGATGGGCCGACTGCCCTGAAAACAACCACTTCCCCTCCGTTTCCTCAAAGACGTTCAGAGTCAGTGGGCTTCCAGGCTGACATGTCAGCATCTCCCACTGAGCTGAATGAACTCCTCTGCAGCCCCGTAACAACTCTGTACCCCGGAAGCAGCGAAGCCCCATCCTGTTCCCTCCCAGCATCACAGGAGATGGACAGAGAAAGGGAAGACTGCTCTGTTTGCAGACTCTCCAATAATCCAGACTCCTCCTAGCAAGATCCATTAGAGCTAATTAACGACCCTCCTTTCAGTGGGTGTCTCTTCACTATGATTAATTCTTGGTCAGAGACAGAAAGCCTGTTCCATTACAGTTCTTTAAAAAAATATATTATTATCAGGCTTCCAATACTGGCATGAACTGTGGGTGAATTTCTGAAGTCAGGTTACTTAGCTGTCACAACTGGTAATAGAAAAATTCAATTTATGAAGAATTAGGAGAGGCAGGAGAGGGTGCTCTTCGGTTTAGAACAAAGGAGATCGATCCTGACACAATGGCAGCATGACATTCGTGGACTTGGAAGATTCCAGGCTTCCTCTTCATTAATTAGAGAGAATCAAGAGTTCTGGTGGTTAATGATTTGCAAAAATTATACGCGGCAAAAAGCAGACGCCGGCTCACTCCAGCCGCCTGCACCAGCGGCCCTTTGGGATAGTTAAACTGTGTGTCAGTCCTAAGCTCCATCCGGGCTGGCAAATAAACCCTTGGAGAGCCACTGCCATCCGCCAAGTCTCATGACCTTTAGGTGGGGTCATGGGACTTCCTGCTCTGAATCGCCTGCCCCGGATAGGTAATGCTTTTAAAATCCACATCAAGAAGTGTCAGATCCAAGTCGCCAGCAGTCTGCTCTCACAAAGGGTCTGTTTGGTGAGGCTGGAGGGTCTTTCCTGTCATGGTCAGTGGGTACTTAGGCTTTACTGCTACTCTCGTTACAGGAGTAAGTAGTCAGTTTTCTTTAAAAACTTTGTTTTTACTGTTTTAATTACAGAAGTAGTATATATCCTTTGTATCTAATTCAAGCAATGTAGAATAGGAGTAAAAACTAAAGGCTCCTCTGTGCCCCCTGCCAATCCCACCCTCCTGAGAGAACCAGGATTAGGATTAAGGCCTTTCCTTCCAGACCCTTCCTACACTTCAGGTTGCCCTGTTTGGCTACTTTTCTGACCAGCCAGATATTGACGTCGTGACATGGTGTCTGGGTATCCTGCTGCTTCTGTGCTCAGGAGATCCCCGGCTGCTCCTCTGCTCCCTTATGACTCAGGCCAGATTGAACCTAGGGCCTCCCCAGCTGGGGGGTCTTGCCATTGGATTGGACCGCATAGCCTGGGACATTGCTCCTTAATTGTGTGATCTTGGCGTTGCCATACAGGAGACGAGGTTAATCTGACAACTGCACTGTGGTGTCAGCCATGCATTTGCAAGTAATGTCGAGCCCACTCTTTGATTTGACAACAGATATTGTTGGAAAGAAGGTAGAAGATCATGCCCATTATAAAAGCCACCAGCTCTGTGGAAGTAAACAGATGCCTGTGGTCTGCTCACATCTGGGGGCCACGGGGGCCGGGAACAGGACTCAGCACTGCCCTTCCAGAAACAGAAGTGTTGCTGAAGTTAGCCCAGGGCCTCATGTACTGGAGGGAAGGCAGCAGACAGGCTGCACCTCTAACCTGCCCTCCCAACCATCAGTTTCTTCCAGGAGGTATCCAGATGACTTCGGATCTAAGGCAGAGCAGGCTGGGGGTATCTAACCTGCATTCAGGAAAAGCCCAGGGCAGCCGAACAAGAACGGCCACCTGGCAGGCCCTTTCCCAAATACCCAGGTCGCCTTGGGTGTTTTGACATTTGCTGGCATTGAGACCCTGTGGCCATTTCAGTCCATTTATTTAAGGTATTTGAAACTCAGTGGAGCAGCTAAGGTTGTAATATTAGCCTGGCAGACATGAAACCCTCTCTCTGATTACCAAGGTCATTCTGACCACTCAGAGGTTACCAACTGTAAGTAGTAATAAGCACCTTTTGTCCACATTTGATTAGAGTATTAATTATACCTGTTTGTAATTTTCTGTCTACCAGACCACCTCCCCAGTTGAGAGTCATCACCTCAAGGAGTGAATGTGTTAAGGATGTCGGTGCTGACGGTTCCACCTGGGTGGAACTGGGGCACATGTTTTACTGGGCTTGAATTATGTCATATTTGCTTGGTGGCAGGTTTCTGTTGGTGGTGGCGGCTGTTCTATGAACAAAATTTGATACAGAATATGATGGTTGATTTCAACCCAGCTAGGCTATGGTACTCGGCTATTTAATCAAACACTAATCTAGGTGTTTCTGTGAAGGTATTTTGTAGATGTGGTTATTATCTACAATCAGTTGACATTAAATGAAGGAGATTACTTTCAATAATGTGGGTGGGCTTCATCCCATGGTTGAAGGCCCTAAATATAAAAACTGAAGTTTCCTGGAGAAGAAGAAGTTCTGACTCAAGACCTTAGCATCATCTCCTACCTGAGTTCCCAGGTTGCTGGCCTGACCTATAGATCCTGAAATTGCCTGCCCCTATAATTATGTGAGTCAGTTCCTTAATATATATACGTGGACTCTCCCACTGGCTCTGTTTCTCTGGTGAACACTGACTGATATACATAATATACATAAATCCATGTAAGATGCACCATTCATTCATTCACTCATTTATTCAGTTCACTTAACAATACTTTATGAGTGCCTGCCACATGCCAGGCATTGTACTAAGTGCCAGGAATAATGGTAGGAAGAGGGCAACCCCGATTGCCAAGGGAGGTTTGGTTCAGGGCAGGACCAGGGCAGTGCTAGAGGCTTTTTAAAGAAACAACTGCAGCCTAGACTCTGCAGGAACTAGACTTAGACATGAGTCACCTGCAGCTGCCTTGGCCTCAGGCAGGGGCAGCCCAGCCCGGCACCAAGCCAGGGCCAAGAGGGAATCAGACACGACCGCGCAGGCGTCCAGGCGGTGCGGGCTTCACAGCGCTGAACAAAAAGGGAAGAAAAGAAAAGACAAAGTCTTGTGGGAGGGAAAGATGTTCAAGATGCTTTTTCTCACTTTAGGCAACCTAGAGGTTGAAAAAGCTCCCCCCCACCCCCCACCCCCAGATACCAGTTCCCAAGAATTCCCTTTCCCGGTGCGATGGGATGAACTCACGGTGACCTCATTTCCTTTCCAGGAGCCGTGGGGATTTCTCATCTGCCCAGAAGCTTCAGGGTGAGGCTGGCATTGGGCTTTGTCATTGCACCGCAAACACTTTGTCCCAGAAGCAAGGCATGTGGGAGGAGCAGGAAGAGCATTTGCTCTTTGCGGATTTAAAAGTGGGACTTTCTGACTCCACTTTTAAAGGCATATGTCATCCTGATGTTTGTAAATCTCAGTTGACTAGATGTAAGAGAAATTAGTGTGAAAACCAGACCAGAAGATTCAAAGACAAGGTGGTCAGAGGTTTGCCAGCCTCTGTATAAGCCCAATGCTGCCCGGAGCAGGGGACGGCCCTGCTGGCCCAGGGCTCCCTCCCTGAGCAACGCCATGACCTCACCTTCCCTCCTTCAGGGCACACAGCACAGAGGCTCGCCCACCTACAGCCAAACCATTTTTTTACCTGACCCTCACCCAGCGCGTCCCCAAGTGTATCCTGGTGACACCCACCCTGTGAGGGACTGTGGGGGAGAAAGGCCGCAGGTGTCAGGAAAAGCCAGGCTGGGAGGAACTTGGCAGAACTTGTTGGGAAGGACAAAAGTCTCATTGCACTGTATCAGTGGCACCCAAAGACAAACCACGGCTCAGCAGCCAGTGAGACCTCTCAGTGAGGGGCACCAGAGGCCGAGCAAGGGCCACTCAGCGCTCGCTCCCAGCTCTGAGGCTGAGCACATACTCCACCCCACACACCGTCCCAGGCACAGAACACCTGCGTGCCCAGGAGAGCCGGCATGTGCACAGAGGGGCTCCCTGGAAAGGCCAAGGGAGAAGGAGCTTCAGGGGCCAGGGAGGGGAACATGCTTCAGGCACGGAGGCGCTGGGGGAAGGCCTCAGGGAGGTGCTCCTTGGGGTGAGCCTTGATGTACACGTCCAGCGGAGATGATGGGAAGCGCAGTCAGGTAGAAGATGTTCCCTGAGCATAAATGAAATAATACTACCTGGAGCTGGGTACAGGGGAACAGGGGATTTGATCAGAGTACCTGGGGACAGGTCAGGGACAGCCATGGGTTCAGGCTGGAGAGTATTGCCCAGACAAGACTGTGGGGAGCCTTGAAGGCCACGTTTGCTAGCTTCATTCATTCATTTCATCAACCAATACATTGTAAGCACCCACTATACACCAGGCACTATTAAATTAGGGATGCTTAGGGATGAACAAGTGACAAAACAAAGCTCCCATCTTGTAGAGTTTATAATCCTGTAATGGAGAGAAGCAGCAAACAAATAAACATATAATACAACCTCAGGGAGCAATTGGTGCTATACAGCAAATTACAGCAGGCTTGGAAAATAAGAGAGCAAATGGGTGCTCTTTCAGATGAGGTGGCCAGGGGTGGCTGACAGGAGATGACACCTGAGCAGGGACCTGACCAGATTCCTGAATGAAGTGAGGGGTCAGCCGAGGTCATGTGCAGAGGCCCATGTTCCCAGCAGAGAGCATAGTCGGTGCCAAAGGCTGAGCCGGGGAGAGTGGCCAGGTGGGCTGTGCAAGGGCGACAGAGGGGCAGGGAAGTCAGAGAGGCACGGGGCACAGTGCCACGCCTTTGGGGCCACTGTAAGAACTCTGCATTTTATTCAAGGTGTAGTGGGAGTGTGGCAAAGAAGTGTTGGCTATTTGGCAGCAAGGAAGTGACAGAGCAACATGATGTGAGGTCTTATTTCAGGTCAGTGATTTTCCAAGTTGAGGGGCCCAAAGAAGCCTTACATAGAGGCATACCCTTAATTCTGAGAAACAAGGAATGCTCTGGCTGAAGTGGGGGTGTGAGTCCCGATCCCCAGCCATTGCCTCCTCCTCTCACTTTCCCCAAGGCCCCCCCGGGGCCCTCAGAACCCTTGGTATCAGGGAGGGGCAGGGCCAGGACGCCATATCTGATTGGGTGGTTTGCATGAATATGTGAAGTGCTGAAGAGTAACTTCTACTTGACGGGAGAACAATATCAGCCGACTGGAAGGGACCCCTTTCCCCCACCCCTCCACACAGTGCCCATGTAGCTGTGTCCTTGGGGGCTCCTTGACCACCATTTCCCCCTCGCTCTGCCAGTCTCACTGGCCTCCTCCATCTTCCTCACTACATCAGAAATGCTCTGGCCTCAGACCCTCGGCACCTGTTGTTGCTTCGGCCTTCAAGGCTCCCCTTCAGTTATCCACAGGGCAGACCCTTCACTGCCCCAGGTCTTCTCGCGGTCCCACCCCTCAGGGCTTCTGCAGCTGCCCCACCTCCTTGTCAATTCTTAGCGCCCTCCCTGATTTTTCTTTCCTCTTTAGCGCTATTTGCTGCCTAATAAATTATATATTTTTACTTTTTAATTATTGTTTATTGGCTCTCTCCTCCTCTTCATGATGTAAGCTCTTTGAGAGCAGGGACTTCGGCCTTTTTAATGTCACCATGGCCTGCTGCTATAGTGCTTTTGGCTTGCTGGGGACTTCACAGGGCCTTGTGGAAGGAGCGATGTTAGTTTTCCTTTCACAAGCAGCTATCACAGGGTCTAGGACCAGTTAAATAATTTAGCACAGAGGATATGTTACACATAATTTTTAAAGCGGCAAAGCACATTTATTGTGGACCATGTGGTGATCTAAAAATAATTACTTTATGCCTTGATTTGTTAAAAACACAAAAGCATATGCTCAACAAGGAGTACTTTAGTCCACAAGAGGATATGAGATTCTTTTGACAAACATTTCTGCAGAAACTCCCAGTGACCGGTACTGTGCCAGGCACTGGGATGTGGTAATGAGTGAATTTGGTAAAACACGGCATTCCTGTCATCTTTTGCAATTTCTTGAAGCAACTCTAAGTTGCATAACCTACATCTGCAGCACACTTCCCCAGTGTCACTGTCCTTACAGATGGCTGCCCCCTCCAAACTGACAGCTTGTGTCCTAAAGACTCATTTTTAATTCAAGGAACTTGGAACACCTTGTCTTAGTCAAACTGCATGATAAATGCAGGCAAGTTTCTCAGACTGGGCTACAAAAGTGCATGTAAGAATAATGCAATCAACATATCACAACTTCAAGATGAGAGACTGGAGGAAAGAATACTATTGGACCACTGATACCCAACAAAATGGGACATGAGTCAGAAAGTCTGTGTATACCTTGGGTGACAAGCATTTGATGATGTTGTGAAGGATCCTTTTATTCCTCAAGGAAGCTGGAAATCTGGACCACAAACTGGTGACCTCCCAGTTAGGGTCCCATCCAGGCCAGCACCCTTACCAGCATATCAGGAATTGTGGCAAATTCAGTACTCTTGTTTTTGTTTGTTTTTGCTCATTTGATTTGTTTTTCAATGTTATAAAAATAATCCTTATGATTTAGGTCAGGGAAAAGGATCAGAATGGGTATGACGGTTTCTATCTGCTTTTGCCCACAGAATATCTAAGGCAATGTAGAAATGTACTGTGCTTTGATGGGGGTCAACTCTTTTGGGGAATAGGAGCTAAAGATGTCTTAGATCCTCATTGCTTCAGATATAATAGAAAGAAACTTACATGAGGACCAGGAGGTACCTGTCATTATCAAAGGAAGTCATGGTGTCAGTCTCCTAGGGTTCCATGTCCTCCCCCTTAAAATGACAGTAAACCCATTCTTCCAATCTCCTTAGACCATTGACAAAAACAAATAGCACGGTAAAAATGAAATTGCTCTTAAGACTTAAAAACCCTAAAAGCCATGGTATTATATATTATCAAAAAGTTAACTCTGGCTGTTTCTGCCATGTTACCATGACCTGAATAATTTGGACAGCTCTGTCCTCTTCCTGCACCCAGGGAAGACCCAGGTTTTAAGTAAGAAGGGTTGAAATCACTCAGAATCTGTTATCTGTTTTGGAACCACTGTCAATAACATAAGCAGGCAAGTGACGTCTTAAGTGCTATAAAATGTATTTGCCAAAGGAGAGGCCAGAAGGAGCACAGCCGTGCTGAGTATGCTAAATTTCAGACACACATTTTCCCTACTGACTGAGGCAGGCTGTTCACACTTTACAGTTGGGAAGAGGGTATAGGCATACTTGCAGACTGTGACCCAGATGGAAATCTTTCTGCAGCAACTGCAGAATAAGGAACCTTTCTCTCTCTGGAGCCTGACTCAGGTGCCTAGAATGGACTTGGTTATAAATAACAGGAGTATTCAGCATTGTGATTATTTTTCTCCACCTGGGTTGTTTGGGGATTTCATGCTCCCCAGGTAAATGAGTAGTGTGTCCTTGTAGAATAATTGCTATGATGTGTGAGAGAGACTCACAAGGGACATTAACCATTTGTACTGTCCCCTCAGCCAGCCCGGAACCAGTGTGGGCACTGCATCTTTTGCTCGGAGACCCCCACACCTGGCAGTGTTTCCACCCATCAGGATCCTTTCTCAGAAGCAGACCTTGGGGCAGACAGAAGACACTGTCTGTTGGTTTAACAGATTGGTGGGCAGAGAATCAGGTGCCCGATATTCTTGTCATGAGCAAGTGACAATGTGACTGTGTAAGCCACTCGTCCTCTTTGGGCGTCAGTGTCCCAGGGAGAGGGCTCTTCAAACTCTACAAATGTTAAGAGACAAAGCCAATGTTATAAGCACTGCCTGTCTAGTTTGGCACCCATCTCACTAGGTGGGCCTCATATATAGGTAAATAAAGAGGTCCAAGTGGACCAAACAGAGCCCCAAATATTACAGGGCCTTTATAATCTTTGTTAAAAGTTTTTATGTTGTTGCAAGTTTTGAAAATTGGGAGACATCATGTAAGAATCTAGATGGTTCTTGGAAAATCAAAAGTTCTGGCAACATTGGGCCCAATTTACAATATAGCAACAATTAGTTAGAGCTGGATGGTGGTTGTTCTCTGGATCAGGCATAGCTCTTCAATTCACCACAATCCCCACCACTCCCAATTGCTACCTACACCTGGTCTACTTTATGGTAGCCTCCTGATGCCTGGAGGTATTTGAAGTTATTATCCTTGCCCTAATATCTCTTTCCATCCCAGATGTATTGACCTTCACTTTCGGTACTTTTTCAAGTAGATTTTCTGCAGAGAGAGAGATCACTGACACTGTGACATGAGCAGGTCATTGCTCTCCAGACAGAAGGATCTCAGAATCCTGGTGAGGAGGGCGGAGGGCTGAGAGGTCAGGAAACACCTGTGGAAGGGCAAGGTGAGATAGAGCAGCTCTGTACAACAGAAATATCGTGCAAAGCACAAATGCGAGCCACACATGCGGCGCAAACATTTCTAGTAGCCACACTAGAAAGAACTGAAAAAAAAAGGTGAACTACTTAACTAAACATACCCCCACAATTTTTCATTGTATCATGTAATCAATTTAAAAATTATTAATGAGACACTTCACATTCCACACTAAGTCTCTGAAATCCAGCATGCATTTTATACTTGAAGAACTTCAACA